CTTCCATGGCAGCAGCGTTGTGCTTCCATGGAAGCGGAACCTACTTCCATGGAAGCTGGTGCTTTTTACTTCCACGGAAGCTCAAAACCAGATTTTCCATGGAAGTGACTGTCGCTTCCATGGAAGAAAAATGCACGAAGTATGAATTTCCCACTTCCATATGAGGTGGACTTCCACGGAAGTGGAGTTATGCTCGAATGGAAGTCAGCCATATCCCCATCGCACCTTAAGGTCCTCACGAGTGACAAGCTCCGGGTACATCATGTTGGTCTCCTTGAAGAGGGTCTCCCGAAGCTGGGCTTCGTTGACTCCGAACCGCCTGGCGATCTCCGGCAGATGCCACACCGGTTCAACCGCGCACTGGACATGGGTAGACACCCAACCCAACAAAAATGGTGGACGATGACATTAGCAACAATAACAACAACAGCAACAACAACAGCAACAACATCAACAACAGGTGGTCGTAAAATAACGCTAGTCGAAGAAAGAGGGAGATGTACAACGAAAACAACGGCTGGAAGTGGAACAGCGTAAACAGAAGAAAGGAAGAGATGCATGATGCACAACGACAACAACTGCCGGGAGAGGCATAGCGTGGACCGAGGAACAAAGACACGCAGGGAGCGTTCTCCAATAACGTTCATATTAGATGCATACCTCGGTGACAGTTTCTCAACGAGGATTTCTCCGCAAAGAATGTTCACCTTAGTTACCATCTGTCAAAGGGGATTTTCTCCAAGAAAGTTCCAAGAAGCTTCTTGTGACCTTCGTGACAAAAGCTCAAAGGGAATTCCTCCAATGATGTACGTGTTCGATGCATACGTACCTCGGTGAAACAAAAGCTTAAGGAGGACATACTTCTGCAAAGAACGTTCCAAGAAAAATTCGCCCAAGAAAATTCCAAGAACATTCTGGGACGTACCTTGGTGATGAAGCTCTGCCCTTCCTTGCTGAGCACCTTCCCGTCTGGAACGAGCCGTCCGAGCCTCACCGCCTCGCGGACTTCAGGTAGGTCGATGTGCGCCTTCGTCACCGCGATCGTTGGGCGAACGTCGTAGCCCTTTCGAAGCCAAGGGTCGAACACCTGGTTCACCAACATCGCAGTTTGCGCATGATGACGTTAGTCTACGCATGTTGACGTTTAGTCTCTACACAGGACGTAGTGATTTAAGAAAGCAGTAGTGACAACATCGCAGCCCTTTCCAGGCCGAGGGTTGAATACCTGGTTCACCAACATCACAAAATTTGCGCATTTTGACGTTAGTCTAAAGGCAGCAGTAGCGACAACATCGCAGCCCTTTCGAAGCCAAGGGTCCAACCCCTGGTTCACCAACATCGCAGTCACGAATTTTGATATCATTTTTAATACAGGACCTGATTGACCCAAGCATGGCAGTAGTGTTTGTAGACAGAAGTGACCACATCGTAGCCCTTCGAAACCAATGGTGGAAAGCTTGGTTGACCAAATACGGTAGTGGACGCTTTTCGATAAATTATTCTTCAAACACTAGCTCGTGCTTAGACATAGTGACAAACATCATTGCCCTTTTGTAGCCAAGGATGGCAGTTCACGCATTTTGATTTACATCTTCATGACGGCATGTATTGCATATTTCGGTTCGCTTCGATATTGAAATTCGATGTAACCAATCGCTTTCCACATAATCATGACGGTACATATGCAGGCATATGTTGGTCGCTCTGTTGTTTCAATGCCCTTTCTTTTGTCCTTTCGTGTCCGTTTTCTACCCACACGTTAAGCCAAGGGTTGACTGAACAACTGCTTCATCAATGGTAACATGATATTTATATTTACACGAAGAGATAATCAAGGAAGCTGGGGCAGTTTACTTGGCATCTTCGCGATGGGTACCTAGCTTGGGTGTTGATGCTCTCCCTGAAACTTCGGTCAAGTCTTGCAGCAAGGTTTTCAAAGTCTATCCGGCGGGTACATGCATACACGCACACCACCGAGCACCCTATCCCACCCTCGGCAAAGTAGGAGGGAACGATTGGCCATCTGTGATCGGTCCTGGGAGCAATGCCCCGTCCCCTCGAAAATGGCCTACCCGCTAAGGCATGCAGAACATCAGTACTTCCCCCCCATCGAGAGCCTGGTCCGGTGAGAACCCGGCGTGCTCCGTCCAGGCTTCGTAGGGATGCGAGGTCAATGGTCTAACGACTAGGCATGCATGGCAATGAGTGCACAACCCTCCCCGTCCTCTACAGGACGCATCGTCCAACCGCCAAGGCATGCAAAACATAAGTACGCCGACCCCCCCCCCCCC